TAAAAAGGTTACCAGAAGTTGTTGCCACGTCCAGTAGCACTTGGCATCTCCAGTTGAACTTGATCTCAATAATGGCTGCTCAGCAAATGAATTCAACTCAGCCTGGTGGGTAGCAGCTCTTACACAGCTTTAGGCACCAGATCCACTACTTTTCCTCCTCTAGCTGACATAGTTGAGCATAGAAAAAGATGGGTTAGTTGGTATTGCCAGCCTATAGCCAGAACTCTCCCAAATCTTCTATTTCTTATATAACTATTTTCTTTGGTAAGAGAGAAAAAAGCTTCAAATGCAAAATTAATTTTTTTCTTTCTCTTTTTTTCAGCCAGTTTTTACTCAGTTTACATAAAGTCATGCATATGCATTTACCTCCCCATTGAGGTTTTTTTTTTCCAGAACTTCGATTGCAATGAAAATCTATGAAAACTCTCTCCAACCTTTATCAGGCTTTCAGTCTATTAGCCAAGGTGAAGAGCAAGAATAAGACCAAAAAGCATATGCAGGTGGTTTGTTCCTCACACCCCCTCTCCCAACTTCAGTGGTTCAGTTTTCAGATAAGTCTAGTGATATATCTTCCAGCTGTTTTAAAGCTGCTGTACCATTTTTATTTTACTTAGATGACAGAACCAGACATTGGAATTTTTCACCATAGGTCTCACGCACAGAAGATATATGAAGATTAAAAACAGGTACAAAAGGGGAGCAATGAGAAACATACAGTCATGCCTGCCATCCTAATATGTTCCTCTAATCACCATATTTTATTATCTTCAGGGACAGATCTTCAAAGTGCTTTTGTTCCTGCAGGATGTAGAATGTGTATTGGGTTTTGTTTTTTTTTTTTTTAAAAGACTTTTGAAAGTTGTTCTCTTTTGATAAGTTCTTCGAGCTGTTTAATGTATTAAAATTAGGCTATTTTTAATAGAGTAATTTTTTTGCTATAAATCTAACATATTCCAGATTAAATTGTTTTCTAAAGATTCTGTATACCAATATCTGTACTTACATACAATCTGGTATAAAGGTCTAACCCAGCATTTTTGGGAAAGGCTATATTAACTTCAGGTGGAGAGTGCCAAAGGTGATTTTGTGTGGAACAACCCAAATAAATGCCAGTAAAATCTTTATCTCATAGTGTACCATTATGTATTTTGTTCTGAACTTATTTATAGGAACTATCTCAGATTTTGGCAAAATTTCTGTGTTTTTTAAATTGTGTTGTTTTTCATATGCCTCCAGTCTCCCACATGCAGAATCGTTTTTCCTTCCTTCTTGAGCCCAACTGTTCTGTGAAACTACTGCCTTCTTACTCAGGAGATTGGCTTCCTGTATGTGCTAGCAGGGAAAAAGATGATATTCCTGAGAGTTGTGCAGAACCACAAATCCCGGGGAGGGGGGGCAGCTACACTCCTTTCCTAACCAGAACTTCAGAACCAGAATCTTTCTAATTCATAAGTAAGACTATCTCTTATGCGTTAAGAAGACAGGAACTTTAACAGTGTAAGCTTAAGTGACTGAGATCTAAATCTGTCCTAGTATAAGCAATTTTGATATATTCTTATTGCTTTAATTCCGAGAAGTAAGTTTTCCTTCCAACTAAGTTTTCCTATAGACTTAAGAAACTACAATATCACAAAGCCTCTTACATTTTTATTACATAATAAAAGCATAATAACCTCAGTAGAGATTGCTGTCCCATGTTTCCTGTAATAAGAATCTGTTCTGTATATAAGCATATCAAAGTTAAATCTTTGGACTCAAATTCTCTAGGTGTCTACTAGAATAATTTCTTTTTGGTGAATGTTTCAGCTGACGTAGCTCAGCTATTTTTAAGGCTGAAATAATGTGAAAAGACATTCTTGCATTAATATTAATTTTAATTACATTTACCATCTCATCTCTGTAAAGTTAATTGAGGTTAAATTTGGCCCAGCTTATAATAAATGTGTGCATGGCAGCTAAGAGCAGGGAGAGAATTTCTCCTCTTGTCTCTGATCGGCTGCAGAAGGAAGTGAGGTTTTCCTCACTCTCAACGTAGGAGCCTGTGGAAGGAGACTGGAGGAGCGCAAGAAGAGGAATCAGGTGAAAAAAGAATCAGGGACTGGGATTAAGGGGAGAATGGGAGCAGACACCAGGGAGATAGGAATAAGGGGGACTGTTTCTTTCTCTTCACAGGCAAGTCTGCAAAGCAGACAGCAGCTTTCTACTACTATCAGTTTACTTCTTTATGTTAAGCAACAATGGGTGTATACCGAGTATCTAAAGTTTCCTGGTATGCTCTTGTGGAAAGATGAAGAGCTCGTTTAGCTCCATGGCAGGATACGATGAAGTCTGTTTTACAGAAGGGATGAGTGTCTGCTGCTGTTGACACTGATGGTAACACACAGGAAAAGCTCCAAAACCTGAGCACGCTGAATGACCAGGTTGTTGCCTTCTCAGACAGGGAACAAGAAGGCAACATGAATTCCAGGCTTTCCTGAGTTTTAAATATTTAATTTTGTAACTTTGACATAGTTTAAAAAATATGTAATGCCAACTGCAAAGAAACAAAATATATGAACTAATATATAAGGAAAAAACAATAGTAAAGAATTAATAAAATAATGCTGTCTCTACTATGCAGCTACTTTGTGCAAATAGACAGGATTTTTCCTGTGCCTAAGTGTTAGTTGAATTGGGTTTTAAACATTGCAATATTTGAAGCTGGATGCCAAGGTTACTGACACCAGTAAACAGAATACTGTGATTGTGTGTAAACATCATGCAGTGATGAAAGGTGAAATCTGAAAAACAGTGAAATGAAGTGAAAGCAATAGCTGTAAACAATATAGCTGCATTTATTAAAATGAACAAAAATGTATAGTCTTTGTTTTGGACTGGATCCTCAGTTGGCTCAGTTTGCTTAAATCCATTTATGCTAGCTATTTCCAGCAGCTGGAGAATCCAGCCCAAAATGCAAGGGGTTTTTCCCCAGTTCTTCCCCTAAGTTTACAGCATGTTCTGTTATGCGCCTATTAGCTTTTCATTTTGCTGCTGCTTAAGAGGTCTACTGAGTCAGAAGCAGCAAGCCAAATGGAAAGGTGGAGATGAAGTTTTTCATGGATTTGCTCACATAAAGCCTATTTCATGATGATGTTAAATGAGTACAAATAATAAGGTTATTTTAGGTTATTTACAGGAGAAAGGAAGAAAGGGGAAATTATATTTTGTATGTGTGTACCAGGGAGATGAAGGGGGTATTAACCCCACCTCATCACTAGCACTGTTTGCACAGCCTGTGCTGCATGCACTCTTACACAATGTGGTCTACTTAAACTGGCATGATTGCACAGCTTCTCCCTTTAGAGCAGGTCTCTGCCTGCCCCTGTTCTGAATGCTGCACACAAATTCTTTCAGGATATGATTTGCAGACTTGTAGTCTTAAATCATACGACTTACCGTGAAATATAATTTTAAATGTAATAGCTTTGCAAAGTTTACATGATTGCCTTAAAAAGACCTCCCCTAGATTTTGCAGGATACTCTGCAGAGTAGCACTTGAGAGTCCTCAAGAGTACATCTGTAAACTAATCAGTCCATCTGAAAAGAGTGAAGATTTAGCAGCTGAACAGGGTGAAGTATTGCATATTCCAGTGTACTTTTTGAAAGAAAGCTATGTTGCTGTGGGACAGGAGATTTGATATTCAGAAAGAATTCATATCCATTATTAAGCCCTGATTCAGCAAAGTATTTAAGCATGTTCTGTTATGCGCCTATTAGCTTTTCATTTTGCTGCTGCTTAAGAGCTCTACTGAGTCAGAAGCAGCAAGCCAAATGGAAAGGTGGAGATGAAGTTTTTCATGGATTTGCTCACATAAAGCCTATTTCATGATGATGTTAAATGAGTACAAATAATAAGAATTCTTGCTTCTAGCAAATTAGTGTCATGAGACTCCAACAGGGGTAAGAGTTCAGACAGGTCATCTGGTTTTTTTGCAGGTTTTGTTCACAACTGTAATAGTTAGAAGCTTTTTAAAAATAATTTAAAAAAACAACTGATTTTTTGTCTGATATGAGGTAGTCTAAAACAGCAATAAAAGACTGCCAGCCTACTTTGAACCATCTTTATTTGATCCCTGGCTGCAATTCCCTTTTTGACCTACTGTTGTGCCTCCTGTGACTCCCAATAGTCATTGCCAGCTAATCAAGTACCTTAACCTTCAAATGCTGAACTTACTATCGAAGTGGTGTCAGACTCCTTGAACGTACGAGTCGTATTATCTTGTTTGTGGAGCTACAGGTTCTCTCCTAGTGGTAGCAACTCCTAAGAATAGAGACTTGAATTGTGGAGTCTTATTTTGTGGACTTTTGTGGGCACTTACTTTGTGTATTGTTTGAACAGATGGTCTTTTTCAGCTGTTTGCATGTTCAGAGTTATTTGACCTGCCCGCAAGCAGGGAGATAAAAGCAGTGATGGGTAAAGTTAGGACTGCACTGGTACAGTTAAATTCAGGGGGGTGGGGACTGTATGGGGTTTGTTGATACCACTCCCCCTCTTTTGTGTTTCTTCACCATTTTACTAACAAGGAACTAAATAATTTTATGCTCATCCACTCTGCTCATCTTATTCTGTGCTAAGTCTGGAGGAAAATGAACATCATATATTGCTGGGTGAGGTAGGAGGGGAATGAAAAAATGAAGTTTCTGAACATTTCTCTAATCATGTCCTTGGTTTCAATCAAAGAAAGAAGGGCCACATCTGGTGTTTGGCTTGAGTGAGAGCTACAATTTCTCCACTGGCAGTGCTGCCAGCAGTGTAGTAACTGTCCATGAGTTCAAGCGCCTTCCACCATATTTTGTCATCATGAAAATGAATGCAATCATCAGTAATTTATCATTCTTGTCAGATACTATAAGTTAAGCAAAATGTTCTCTTTTAAATGCAACAGAAGGGCTTGTTTCAGGCTATTGAAGGCATCTGCTATTTTTTCATTTTTATTCTACCGGTTTTTTTCCACTTTTAGGGAAGCAATGTAATGGAGGACCAGGATCTCTTGGAAATAGGAATCCTTAACTCTGGACACAGACAGAGAATACTCCAAGCAATCCAGCTTCTCCCAAAGGTATATTTTCTGTTATTATCCAAGTGAGGGAACTAACACCTACAGCTTTCACGTTGTTTAAAACACTTTTTTGAATGGAAATAAACATAACTCTCTATTGGTTTTGTAGATGTGTTTTTTGCTTATGCAAATGTGACATAACGTAATGTCATTTCATTGAACTCACTTTGTATAGATGTAATTGACAAACAAAGCAAAGGAGAGTAAAATCTGTAATTTGAAGTGATGGCTGTTTAGAATTTATTTTAATTATTTTTGGCTTTTCAATCTTTTTATAGACTGTCATTACATTTGTGTAAATAAGGCTGTCAGTGAATCCCAGATGTTTGTCTTTACAGACCAGTTGGCCTGGAAATACTTTGCCCTTTATATAAGTATTCTTAAAAGCCTTGGATGAAACATTGTTTTCCTAATACCTGCCTTTCATGTAAGATGCGGAGACTTCCTGCAGGCTTCATATTTGATTTGCTGCTGTGTACATGAATTTTGCTTCTCAGCTGTGGACAGAATAACTTGCAGTCATTTTTCCAATCATTTTTGGTGCTAGCTGATTTAAACTATAGATTTTAAAATCAATGATAGAAAGATTGTTCTTATATTTTGCGTACCAGAATATATCAGTGGAGGCTTCTACTAGCATTCTAAACAAGAGAGATAGTGGGCCTAGCATGAAAACTTACTATTTGATTTTGGAAAGCTGTATAAGGAGAATGAATGAGGAGAGGTAGACACCAGTAAGGCTCAGAAGGCTGCCACATGTGATGCAGATACTTAGTGCAAGATACTAGGGCAGGAATAAAACCTAGTGTAAAGTGTGTGGAGTATTCTGGGAGCAGCATGTGTCGAATAATTGAGGTAAATAGAGATTAGTCTGCTTGCAGTTTGATAATACTGGAGAATGAGAAGAGTTATTAAAGGACTTTTCAGTCTAGAGCATGAGGCTGACATTGCTGGAAGAGGCTTTTTGATGCATCATGGCTTACTGGATGGATCACATTTAAAACAAGGGTTTCTTTTGCATGGGAAAAATTAGAAGCTGTGAACAATTTCTGTATCTGGATGTGTTAGTCAATCCATATATACTACAATATGAGTCTGTGCACTGAAACATCAAAGATTATTAAAGACAATAATATTCCATATACCATATTAGACAAGTGAGATAAATGGTACAAGTAGTAGGGTGTATAAAAGTCGCATTTGATGGATTACAATAGATATTTAAGGTTTAACTATGAATTTATGACTTTTTCAGCAATGCTATCATTCAAACAAAATTTTCTAATCTTAATCCCTGCTCTTAGCTGATGAAGTATTTTTTGTTTTTCATACTTCTTAGAGAAATCAGCTTTCTTGTATTCTTGTTTAAATTTTTCAAAATTAATGAATGGATTGTGAATATATCATAGTTTTATCTGCACTCAGTATCTGGTGTTTATGAAAACATTGTTAATAATATCTGCTTTTGGAGATAGTGCTGAGAGCAGATTCTGTCATAAAACTCCAATTGAGGTCTTTTTAAAATGTGCCTAATGTGAGAAAAGAGGACAGAATCAAGATCTAGAGATACTCTTGAAACCAGTTGAGAACAAGATGGTTATGCAGTTACTTGGAAGGATCAACATCTTCTGTACCAAAAATAATTAAGTAACACAGAATGGCTTGAAGCATGGGCTGAATAACGGTGAGGTAGTCTTTAGCAGCTTCCCTGCTGAGCTAGAAAAAACAGTGTAAGATATCTTGCAAGATGCAAGAATGTTACACCAAAACAAAGGCAGTCAAAAGCTGAAGCTGTGCATCACATTTCTTCACTTAAATGACTCAGAAACGCAAGACAGCTTGCATAGTAAAAATACATAATTTCCTGTTCAAAACCAAGTTCTTTTGAAGGCACAGCTGTCAGAATAGTTATGGGGCCCAAAAATTGGGATCATGATAAATTTTATCTAATGTAACCCACCCTTGCTGTATTCACAACAGCTTGCTGAAGATCTAAAAAACTTTCACATCGTGCAAGGAACCACGAACATTTCTGTATATCTATTTGTTTGTTGATAAGTTCAGCTCTGTCATCATGCATTCAAAATAGTGCATACCATCTAAATATTTTAAGATCTCAAACCATAATTGGAGTCTCACTAATTTGAATCTCATTAGATAAAAATTCTTTTAGTTTGTTTGTTTTGAACATGTACCTCTTTTCCGTTCCTCATTTAATTTAAAACATGATGACTCCTTGTGTTTTAGTACTTAATAACATTGCTGATGATGTTATTTTTAGTTTTACTATTAATGTTTCCTGTCTTGTGATACTTTTTAACTCAGATTTTGAGGTGGAAGTTAAGTGCTTTAAAAAACATCTATGGAGCAACACTTCCTTAGAGCCATATACTCAGGTAGTATTGAATAAGCTTAGAGGGTAAAAAGCAAGCAACAAATCTATTGTCAAGGTTTTAAAATACTCTTTTTTTAAAGCTCTTTTTTTTATTCTCATCAATATTCATCTCTGCAGCCTGAAAATGCAACAGGCATTTAGTGGTTGAAAAGAAAGACTGTCTTTTTTTATTCATAATTGCTGGCTTCCTAGAGAGTGATGAATTTCTATATTTCAAACACCAGTAGCCTGTTTAGGAACCACTTTCTAGAGCTTGAAGTAGTTTTCAATGGGAAAAAACCCCACATATCTGTCCAAATATAGATGAATTAATCATTGTAGTTTCTTACACAGTGTCTAACCAGTATAAAAAGGTATGTTTACACAGATTTCTCAAAATATTTTTCCCAGATGATTCTGTATTTGAGGAGAACATTTCATAAGAGGGTAAACTGGTATGTTTGTAAGAGATAGGCAGAGTTGAAATCTTGCCGTTAGATTTCTGCTTTTCAAAATACCCTTTATTTTTGTTGGATTAGAGCCAGTAACCCAAATTCTCATCTCACACTAAGGTAGTTTAAGTTGTTCAAGTTTCACATTAATATTAACTAGAGCACTTTATGGCTTATTATTATTAGATAAGGTTAAGACACTGCAGCAGAAATATAATTTGTAAAGTTAATTCTTGAAATGGAAATATTTTATACATGACATCAGTCTTAGAGCAAATTTCATAGCAGAGTTTGATATTGCATTTAAGATTTTTTTGTGTGAAAAGAATGAAATAATAAATGTTTGGAGAAGGATTTTATATGTTTTATTAAAAGGAAGTTCAGACATGTCGAGAGGTAGAGGCAATGTCTGAAAAGATACTGAAGTTGCAAGTACAAGGACTTGAGAAAAAAAATGAATACTGAGAAAAGAATTGTGTGCAGGATATGCTTAATTGACTAAGAAAACAATAGCAGTCATGACGTAACATTTTAGCCACACTTAAGTGACATAGGAAACCTAAGCAACATTGTCAAGTTATTTCGGCATCCAAAACCTATGTGCAAATGACTTCTCAATGGGTTCGTCAAAAGCTAAAATGTTTTTGAAAATAAGAATTATCCTAGCTTATCTGAGAACTTAGATAAGAAAAAGGATTGTTTTTGTGTGGGATGTTCAGTGTATGGCTTCTTCTCCCAGCGCATAATGGGAACACATTCTCTCATTTGACAGATGGAAGAAAGATGTTAGCTGAAAGCAGCTTTCTCCTGGCTTCAGAGCTATTCTTAAAGTATGCAGCTTGTTCCTTCCTGCATGGAAAGATCTCAGCACAAAGCAAGTTGGGGAATCTTGTAGCAGTGGTGTGCAGGCAGCTAGTCTCTTTCCTGGGTGCTTTGCAGAACCAGACAAGGAGTAGGATATGAGCAGGCTATGAGCACATGCTCTCTGTGAGTAGTGTTATATGAGCAGTAAAGCTGTGCTTCCAAAAAGTGCTGGATCTATTACTTATATATAACACTCTTTTGTGCAAGCACAGTAAGGCTGGAATTTAGGAAAACAGAACTACTGTGCATGTGTACATTAACTATGCTGTGTATGTAACAGAGAAAGACCACGTCATATGTTTGCTATTGCTCTCTTGCTATTGGCTTAGACACCCCCGAGCTTAGCGAGCTGATTTGAATCCTGGTGTTTAATTCTCTCCCATTCAGCACAGCTAATAGGTAGATCATTCCAACTTCCATTCCTAAAGACAGTGTCCAAACTAGGAGATGCTGCAAAGTGGATATCATAACGTTTATGACCTTTTCTGGCTATGACTCCTCAGTTCTGGTCTGCTGGAAATGAAGATGAAAAACAGAATTCAAAGGAAGTGCTTTCTGTCCTGCTGTTTTTCCTTCTTCTAATCCCTCTGGGAATTACTTTCCTGATTTGGAAGGAGGCCACTCACCCGCTCATTGCACTGCTTATAAGACCTTTAACCATAAAGACAGAAAAAAGTGTTAGAATCCAGCATAACACATGAACTTTTCAACTCTGAAACACAAAGGCGTAGTCTACATTATTTAAGTAATGCAGCACAATAGGAATGGATCAGTGAAACAAGGCAGTTAGATACATCCATGCTATAGTTCAGTGTTTACTTCAGACTAGCTTTAGACTGATCCCATCAACCAAATGTCCCCTCCATGCATGTGCTTCAAAAGTGTCTGATGAAAGCAGTCTCACAAACGTTTTCCTTCTTAACTGAGCCTATCAGTGAGCCACTCTAGCCATGACATGCTGTCATTTATCTGTATCATGTAGATAACAGTAGCATGTCACTGGTCTTGCCACCGTTGCCCATACAGTAAGTCTTATTTCTCTTCCTGCTTCTTTTATACTTTCTTATTTGTGGTTGACTCCGCAATGCCTACTGCCTGCTCTGAGAATAGTCAGCAGGCAAGGAAATACGCTATAAGAGAGGAAGCTCTATTCTCTTTCTATGGCAACTAGACTAGGATGACAACCTGAATGAGCTGACTTAGACTTTCTGCACATCCTTTTGTCCGAGAAAGAAGACACAGATAATTGCTTTCTGGGAGTATTTGCTGGTGTGGCTGTTCTGCCTCAGGATTTCACCCTTCATGAGCTC